TCCAAGGGCCATGGCGAGAGCATTTACCCCGTGGCAACTGACAAATGCTACAGGTCAGGGCTCTCCCCTACCCTTGACCCTGAGAGCCAGTTTGCCAGCACACCAACCTAGAACCATGGTGTATATATGGGGTACTGCCTAGCCGAGTTCATGAATCCATTTGATAAGCACTGATTTAGCACATGCTTCATCCAAGCTGCTGACTCTAAGGTGCTGGGGATAAATCAATGAGTAAAACAGACATAGACCCTGCCTTCATGGAGTTAACGATCTCGGGGGTGGGGGGTGAAGGGTGGGTAGGGGGATGGGAGTGGGGATGGAAATAATGTTAACACAATCAATTCAATTGTGAGTAATGCCACAAAGCGGAAATACAGTTGACCCTTGAACTGTACGGGCCCAGTTATACATGGATTTTTTTCCCCCAGTAAGTACTGTTGGCCCTCTGTATCCACTGATTTCTTATCCAAAATTCAATCAACCATGAATCAAAAACAGTGTTTTTACATTCCCAACTCAGATTCCCCCACCACGGGTCAAAAGTACTGTTTTTCAGCTGCCATTGTTGAATCTGCAGATGCAAAGGGCCAACTATAGTGCAGTTTCGGGGGAGTCAAAAGTTACACTCAGGTTTTCAACTGCACAGGGGTCAGTACCCCTAAGCTCCTGTGTTGTTCAAGGTCAGCTGCATAGAGTGCAGCAGCCATTCACCCTCTCCACCTGATCTGCAGCTCAATTCTCCAGCATTTTGAGTGGAGCAGCAAAGCACAACTGCCCCACTATTTTCTCAGTGCTCATGCCTCCAGCCTAGCATTTCCCATCAATAATAGGTAACTTCTTCAGCACCAGAGAGGTTTTGAGCCTTAGGGGTGAAAACCAACATGCCTCATGAGCAGTCTCAGCAAAGCCAACCTCCTCCCCCACTCGCACCTGGCCAGGCCGAGCTCCCTGCCACTCTTCTGCTCCCCAGGACATCATGGTTTCCATGGGAACCCACTCACTTCAAAGGGGAAGGAAGGAGACTGGAGGGGAGGAGGGAAAGTGAAAGCTGGATTAACCTCACCCTCTTGGCCCTGATTCCACACTGCTGGCAACCTAACCGCCAGGTCCCACACAGCACCTGACACTCTCCACCAGCACGGAGAGATGGGGTGCTGTGGTCCAAGTGACATTTTAACTTCTTGGGGGAAAAACCCTGGGGTTGAGGTGGGGGCTGAGGAAGGACAGAGTTGAGTGGGTCCAAGCCTGCAGACCCCACTGCATGGCCCCCTCCTCAGACCCCCTCCCAATTTTGCTCCTGGGCCACAAACACAATTACCCGCGATGTGCATCCAATCACGGGATCTGCTCAGATTAGACTGCAGTCATTAATCTGAGCAGGACTCCTGGCTGCCTTGCTGATTAGCCCAGATGATGCTCTGGTATGATCCAATTAAAGACAGACTTGGCCTCCCCTCTGCCCCTACACACACACACACACACACACACACACACACACACACACACACACACACACA